AAATTATTAATTTTTATTATTTTATAATAAAAATTAATAATATTTTAATAAAATTGACTAGGCTATTTAGTTTTAGGGGTGGAGATACTTTAGTCTATTTCTGTTCACTGTGGTCTATTACTGTTCACTTGAGTGGATAAATGCGCTGAGTGCTGGTGCAAAGTCTTTAGGGGTGGAATTGCTCTTATAGCAATAGTAGGGTTGCTACTAATCTTTTCAGTTCAATGTAAAAAAAAATTGCGATTAGTTTGTATCCTCTTGGCAATGTTCAATAAGTTTACCATGGATGGAACCTTGCTGGTTAGGCGGGACACGTTCGTTGCCAACCCACTACTCAAGAGGAGCACATATACGGGCCAAGACAAACGTTAGTGGTAATTTGGAGGCTCGATAAATTATTTTATTTGTGTCAGTTTTATTAGGCTGATTTGATATAGGATTTGTCCTAATTATGAAATAAAAGTATGACATGATTTTTGGTTAAAATACAAAGTATTAAAGCTATTTTTATTAATTTTTTCTTTAAAAAATTATTATTTTTATTATTATTAAATGCTTTTAATTACTATTATTAATATTAAATGCCAAAAATGACACATAAGTTGTCAAATTTGAATTTTGTATTTAAAATTTGACATCTTTACCTTCAATGCTACGAACTTAGTGCTACATGTCTCTTAGCCATTAAATTTGATAATCACAAATATTAAATCTTCTACATTAAATCTCCACCATTTATTACTTTTTTGTAGCACTCAATGTTCCGTACCATTAAATAAAAAGAAAAACTAATGATAAGGGCTCCAAAACTTTGAATTTTAACCAAAAACCATATAGAAAGTTTATTTAATGGTTAGGACAAAACCCAACATTTAATTAGTTCAATCAACATGGCCCAACTGAAATAACTTAACGTGTGTCCAATTCTACCCCTGACTTTTACTCTGACAGTGTTTTAATTTTTCCGTTTGTTATTTTTTTGTTAGTTTATTCGGGAAATAAACAGAGCAAAGTACCCACGCAAGCAATCGGAAACAACCCATATAAACGCACAGTCAAAATAGCATAAAACCCAAACCCCAAAAACAGTCAGTCAACTCCAGTCGCACTGCCGCCCTCAGCTCAGCCCACAAAGCCACACAACCGAAAGACAATCTTTATTCACATTCGAATTTTTTGGGCTATGGCTTTGAATAAGTGAGGAGCTTCAGATACCCAGATGCAGAAGAAGAGGTGGGTAGCATTGGCTGCACTGAGGAAGGTGCTAACGTGCATCATACCTCAATAGTGCTAATGGCTCTCTTCTCTGGGGTGTTTGATGCTTATTCTTGTCAGTTGGAATTTGGGACTTTGGGAGACTCTTTCATATCTTCCTCTTTTCTATATAGCATGTGTATTGATGCATTGATGAACTTGTTCTTATTTCGTCGGGTGCTTTGAGAGGTTCACTAAACCATTGTGTGTTCTTATTTCGTGTTTGAGAGTAGCTGACCGACTAAATCATAGAAGGTTAATCGTATACCGTTGAAAATTTTGCAGGGAAATAAAATTGATGCAGGCTCTAAAGCTGTGCGTGTACTCTAAAGAGTAAAAAACAAGTTAAGAATGCAGAGTGTAGAGTTTAGAGGGTTGGTTCCACCACCTTTTTTTTTTTTTTTTTTTTTTTTTGAGTTTTTTACTCTTTCCTTCAATGAGTATTTTACTTTTAAAAAAAATAGTCAATGTTCAATTCTAGAAATATTATGTGTTCAGTTTAAATATTTGTACCAGTGTTCAATTTACGAAATAGTGATAGTACCAGTTTTTAAAGAAATATTCAATGCTCACTTTAAGAAATAGTAATAGTATTGTACTTAGTTCTAGAAATAGTTTGTGGTCAGTTTACAAAATAGTGATAGTGCTAGTGTTTAGTTTAAGAAAAAGTCACTGTTCAATTCTAGAGATAGTCTGTGTTCAATTCTAGAAATATTCAGTGCTCATTTTTTATCATGTGGTACTTTCATGCATTTTATTTATCCTCATAAAATAATACATTGTCTCCATGAAAGTTAATTTATCAATTGTGTCAGTAGATTAGAGGTGATACAACCCACTATGATGCAGTTGTGAATCCAGCAGCATCTGGAGTACTTTTAGCCGGATTGAAATCAGCTCGGTGCGAAACAATGCCTTGGAAAGACAATGAAGGTAGAGCTGAATGGAACGAGGATCCCTGTAAAGTCATTTCTTGATTATGTTGACCCTACTTACAATATGATCAATTATTATCATATGCTTGTTGATTAAGATCAAAATGCTTAATTATTATTATTATTCTATTATTTTTTTAAACGAACACTAGTACTATCACTATTCGTAAACTAAACACTGACTATTTCTTAAACATAACACTAGTACTATCACTGTTTCGTAAACTAAACATTAACTGTTTATCAAACGAAGATAAGTACTATCACTATTTCGTAAACTAAACACTGACTATTTCTTAAACGGAACACTAGTACTATCATGGTTTTGTAAACTAAATATTGACTATTTATCAAACGAACACTAGTACTATCACTGTTTCGTAAACTAAACACTGACTATTTATTAAACGGAACACTAGTACTATCATTGTTTCGTAAGCTAAACACTGATAATTTCTCAAACGGAGCACTAGTACTATCACTATTTCTTAACTGAACATTGACTACTTCTTAAAATGAACACTATTTCTTAAATTAAACACTGACTATATCTTAAACCGAACAATAGTACTATCACTATTTCATAAACTGAACACAAGTACTGTCACTATTTCGAAAACTAAACATTGACTATTTATCAAACGAACACTAGTACTATCACTGTTTCATAAACTAAACAATGACTATTTCTTAAACGGAACACTAGTACTGTCACTGTTTCGTAAACTAAACACTAATTTCTTAAACGGAACATTAGTAACTATCACTGTTTCACTGATAACACTAAACACTGACTATTTATAAATGAACACTAGTACTATCATTTGTTTCGATTAAACTAAAAACACTATTACTCAAAAACACTAGTCACTATTAACTCGTAAACTAAAACACTGACTATTTTTAAACGGAACACTAGTACTATAACTGTTTCCTAAACTAAACACTGACTATTTCTAAACGGAAACTAGTAACACTAGTCCTATCACTGTTTCGTAAACTAAATATTGACTATTTTTCAAACGATACATATTTACTATCAACACTGTTTAGTTTACTATTTATCAACGAAACGAACACTAGTATTATCACTGTTTTCGTAAAACTAAACACTAATTATTTCTCAAACGGAACACTATCACTGTTTTTGTAAACTAAACACTGACTATTTTTTTAAACGGAACAACTATTATTACTATCACTAGTACTATCACTGTTTCGTAAACTAAACACTGACTGTTTATTAAACAGAACATTATTATTGTTTCGTAAATTAAACACTGACTATTTATTAAACGGAACACTAGTACTATTACTGTTTCGTAAACCAAACACTGATTATTTTTCAAACAGAACACTACACACACACACATGAGTTCAATTTTATAATGAGATAGATCCAAGGCAATTGCATGAGACTTCCAAACATAATTCAAACCAAACATAATCATATACTAGTTTCCAAAAAAAAAAAAACATAATCATAAACGTTGATGTGAGTCTCGCACTTTAAGTTTCACTAATCCAAGAAATCTTCCCTTAACCTTCATTATTTTGTAGTGATTTGTGTAGAAGTTTGGTGATACACTCGGTGAAATTATGTCATTTTCGAATCTAAACTTCATTATTTTGTAGTGATTTGTGGAATTTAATTTTTTTTTAAAATTTATTTGATGGGAGGCGAGGCGAGGAATTGGAGATAATTAATTATGTTGGGGGTTAATTGGTATCGACTGGCAAAAGTTTTTTTTTTTGACGAATCCTCTAGAAAATGGCATATTTGTAAATAAATGAAAGTTTAATTCTAACAAAAGTGGGCTGACGGAAGGCTGGGGCATGGATGGAAAATGAATTTCTTATTTTGCACATGAGGCTTCTTTATTTTGGTTGTTCTTTCTAGTTTTTGTCCTTTTTCATTAAAGTTTAAGTCTTTTTTATTAAATAAAGTTAGTAAATGATTTTTTATTAATAAAAAGTTTGAAAAAGCCTTTTTCATTAAAGCTCTCTTTTAATTTTCGGCCATCTGATTGGATGAATTGAAGAATATCAACGACAGAAATTATCAAGAAGTGTGTGAGAAGTAAAATGGGGTGTGTGGATAGTACACCCATATATATATATATATATATATATATATATAATAAAAGAAAGTTGGAATTGATTGGGTTTCTCAAGCCTAGACAATAGACGTCCCTTCAGGAGGAAGAGGGGACGACGAGAAGAAAAAAAAGAAAAAACCAACAGCAAAAAAATCATAACAGGAAGACAGAAGTAATTGGCTGACAGAATGGCATGTTTGTAAATACAGAAAAGTTTATTTTTAACTGAATTAGCAGACAGCATGAGGTTCCGTTAGGGGTAGTGCAGGAAAAAATAATATTTCGTTTTGGGCTTTTATTTCAGCCCATGTGTATTCAATGTTTGTGGGGCTTAATATAAATTGTTTTTGTCCTTACGATTAAATATGAAATCCTTTTGGTTAAATAATAGTATAGGGTGGTTTTTGGTTAAATTAAAGGGAATTTTAACGAAAAGCACCCGGTACTGTTCACTTTAACGAAAAACCACATTTTTACACTAAAAAGTCAATCATGATACTATTCACTTTACCCTTTATTTTGTCCTTATCATTAAAACTCAAAGTTTTCAAGCCCTTTTCATTAGTTTTCCTTAAATTAAACTTAACTCAAGCGCTTTTCATTAAAGCTCCCTAAATAAAAATCACTAATAATGACAAGAAAGCTTTTTTCTTTTTTGACAAATAATAACGTTAATAGGTTAAATTATTAATTGTTAAAAAAAAGGAACCAGTGAAAACGAACTCGCACCAACCATTGAAAGGCATAACAAAACGTCATAAGCAATTAAAAGAACAAAGGTGGGCGACAGATGACGAAGACCAGTAGGCGCTTAATCACCTCCTCCTCCTTTCCCCACCTAACCTACGTCCTCCCCCAATGTCATGTGTGAATAGCCAAACTACCCTTCCTTCCTTCCCTGTGAACCTCTGGCCACCGGTGGACCCTCCAGAAATAGACAAACCGTATGCCACCACCACCAACCAAACACCAGAAAATGATAAACCAATCAAAACACGTCGCTGGTGTGTGTACATTTATATATTTATGATAATTCTGACCCCCAAATAACAGCAAATTCTTACCATCCACTCAAAGAGTCTAAGGGGAATTGAATTGCCTTGGTTTCATATATTCTGAGATTCATATTTGGTGCAGATATGGCTTCTCAGTCCCAATCTCAGCCATCAGCACCGCCATCGAAGACATCGGTTCTGGCAGCTCCACTAAGTGCATTAGGGTTCGAGCTTGAAGAGATAACACCCAAAAAGGTCTCTGGTCGCCTCCATGTCACTGAAAATTGCGTCCAGGTCGTTTCTCTTTTCATGTCACGAATCTGACCCTGCTCAACTTTCTGAAATATGTTGTTATTTACAGAAGCAAAACACGTGATTAACTTCTTACCGTTCTTTTCTGCTGAGAGCAGCCATTCAAGGTGCTACATGGAGGGGTATCAGCACTCATCTCTGAGGCCCTGGCTAGCATCGGAGCTCACATGGCCTCTGGTTTCCAAAGGGTGGCCGGGATTCACCTCAGCATCAACCATTTGAAGCGCGCCGAGCTCGGCGACCATATCTTTGCCGAAGCCTCCCCGGTCAACGTCGGCAAAACCATTCAGGTAATCCTCTCAGGTCTTCATCATCAACTATCATTTCCAATTAATTGCAATTCATAACTGGTAAATGATGCTACATACACAACAGTTATAACATTCTATTTCAACATAACTTCCTACTGAAATAGGTTTTATACTAAAGAAATGTGAATGCCAACACCCAATTATCCACATTGGTTTTTCATCTTAAATCAGTTTATCATTTCCTTTCCTGTAACGAAATTGATCAACGGATTACATCATTCAACGATTGTTTTTGGGTTTGTCTATTTTTGGGCAGGTTTGGGAGGCAACAATATGGAAGATTGATCCTTCAAACTCAAACATCAAATCCATAGTATCCTCATCAAGAGTTACTCTTTTAAGCAACATGCATGTGCCGGAGCATGCGAAAGATGCCGGTGAAATGCTCAAGATGTATGCCAAATTATAAACTTTGTTGTACCCTATTCATGTTCAACTCTGCTTGTTATGAAACCAACAAAGAAATCAAAGACGCTTTGAGTTAGCATTATATTCCAAACAAACAACTCGAGATGAGATTGTCAAAGTTAAGAATTTCTGTCAATTTTTGAGTGTGATCAGCACTAAACACAAGGGACTTCAAAAGCCTGACTTGCATCGACATGGTACAAGGAACAAGATACATTGTACTGATGATCGCAGTCCAAATTAGGCAGGTCGATCACACAAATGAGTTAGACCGAAAAATCATGATTCGACCTGATCTGCATATAAAGCACCCGTTTGATGGCCATTTTGGTTTTAATATTTACTTTCCAATTTTTGTGATAGAGATAGAGGGGCAAAATGAGGAGTGGAGAAGGATGAAGAGAGCTGGTGGGAGGGAGGAGGAGGAAATGGAGGTAACTATATGAAAGCAAAAACAACTTAAAATTGTTTTCGAATTTTGGTTTCTAATTTTCTTATTGTGTGTCATTCCATCCACACTCATCGCTCATTTCTTCCACCGTCCTTCCTTTACTCTTCTTCATTCCCCTTCTCCCTTGTACTTTTCCTCCGTCAATACCAAAAAAGGATGAAAGCAAAAAGCTAAAAACGCATGATTATCAAAACGGGCCCAAAGTTTGTAGCTTTTTAATAAAGAAAACTAATGAAAAGGACTTGAAAACTTTGAGTTTTAATGATAAGGACAAAATAAAGGGTAAAATGAATAGTACCATGATTGACTTTTTAGCGTAAAAATATGGTTTTTCGTTAAAGTGAATAGTACCGGTGTTTTTCGTTAAAGTTCCCTTTTAATAAATCATGCAACTTAAAAATTGAAACTTTTATTAAATTTGCAAATACTCAATACAAGAGCACACATACATACACACACCAAGTTGAGATTAAACAACAAATTGTCACTCTGAATTCTTGCCAAACCCAGTTGTGGAAATCTGTTCCCTTGAAAACCCAAAAAATTCAAACCAGTATGAGCAAAAGCATGTGTTTTTAGCAATGTGAGAGAATTGGGGAAGCAAGAAAATGCAAATGGTTACCTGAGAGCAGCAAGCTGCTTGGCCAAGTCGTTGATCTCAACACCGGAAAGTTTGAGAGAATACAACGTTCCGGGAACCTCCCGGTACACCACATTGGATAGTTTTCCCACTGCAACTGCCAATCTTCTCATAGCCTGAAATCCCAATAAGCTTGATTAGCTCATAAATTGATAAAATGATTGCATTGCTCAAAATTCAAAGCTGAAAAATATGCAGTGGAAGTGAGTGAGCAAGTGAGTGGCGTACGTTTATCGTTGGAATGCGAAGTATGGCGACGGAGAAAACTGCCGCAAAAGCCTGCAGGTTCAGAGCGCCATTAACACATTAAGCATCGGTTACTGGTTAATTAACAATAAGGGCAAATGGGTAAATGGGTTTTACCGCGGAGAGGACAAAGAGGAGAGAGAGGAGGCCCAACTCGGCGGTGGGTCGAATCCGCAGAGCTTTGACGGTGCGTACGGACGGAGTAATAGCAGAGGAAGAAGAAAATAGCAGCGGTTGCGTTTGGGAGGATGGAGTCGTTGATTTGGAAGTGGGGTTTGGGAGTATCCGCCGTTGCTGCGTCGATACAGAATCTACAGATGGAATATTGGATTTCTGGGCAACTACAGAGGCGGCTCTGCGGCTGCCGCCGTGAGGAGAGCTCCGCGGCTTGACCGCCATGACCACTGGAAGCGGCTGAACCCACATCATGCCTCTTTAATCTGTTTGCTCTATGTCTGTCTCCAAACGTCATGCCGTAGTAATTAAGAGGTATTAAATTTCGAAAATTATGAGTTTGGAGTTAATTTGTCCGCTCACCAACCTTCCTCTTAATGTAAATATATAATATATCAAACATATTTGTCGATTTGCTCTTTAAATTTGTATAAAGTTGTCGATTTGCTTCTTAAATTTGTATAGAACTGTCAATTTCCTCCATGAACTTTAATTTTTACCGATTACCCGCCTGAACTTTTGTAAGTTCTCATCCCTCTTTTTGCTATTCAATTGATTAAAATCTTATTCATTTTCAATTTTTTATCAAGGTCATTGGGTATTAATAACATCATTAATTATTTCAATAATAAAATAATTTTTTTATTTCTAAATATATTCATTTAATGTTAAAAATGTTACAATTAGTATATTTATATTATGACTAAATTTAAATAATATATTTTTAGTTTTAGTTTGTGCCCATTTTTAATTTGTACCAATTTTCTTTTTAGTTTTAATTTGTACCCATATATTAATTTCTTTTTGTGCCCATATTTTTTAAAGTTTATTTGTATTTGTACCCATATTTTTTTTTATTTGTACTTTTTATTTTGCTAAATGTGCCCATGCTAATTATATGTACTCATTCTTAAATATATCAATTTGTTATATGTAAAATGTACCTTTTTTTATATAAAATCTATTCAATTTTTTTCTAATCACATTTTTAAACTTATATGGGTACATTAATTCTTTTTTCTTTGATTTTAAAATGTATTCATGTCAAGTTTAATCTAAGAAATTTACTAATGTTATTAAGCCTAATATCTTTTTTTTTTTGGTGATTTTGAAGAATGTACCCATGTTTTGATACAATAATTTTTTTGGTTAATTTTGATGAATGTACCCATGTTTATACACACACACACACAATAGTGTATTTATATTTTAAGATTTTTTATCCCACAAATTATGATTTTTTATTTAAAATCTCAATTATATAAACAACTAAAATTTCTAATTTTTAATTTAAAAAATATAGTAACGTACATAGAAATAAATTATCACATTAATTTCAGGGACCTAGATCAAAAATTAAAAACCAACAAGGTTTTAATCAAAGAATATTCATAACTAAGGACCGTATCCAAAGTCTCCCTTTTAAAAAGAAATTCATTCAATTTTTATCCATTTTGATCACGAGTGTGGAGCCAAAAATAATCAAGAGACGGCACATGGATTTTTGGGCAGAAATGACAAAATTACCCTTGAGGAGCATCGAAATTCCCACTCACAAGCAGTAGGCAATCATCCCACAATCAAGTCAAAAGTGCCCAAAATAGGTATTTATTCAAAACCTATTTCATCCATCTTCTCCGCAAGGTAACTCCCAAAAACATTCATTTTAAATTATGTTAATTAGCTAATTAATCTATTAATGGCTAATTAAATTACCAATAAACTATAAAATACACTCAAAAACACCACAAAAGGCCGGCCATGTTCTCCCCCAATGAGGCCCGCCATGCCCTATATATACTACCTCATTTTCTCTAAAAATCCAGGTCTACACTCTTGCTAAATACTCAAAATTTTCCAAACACTTTTCCCTCAAAATTCTAACTTTGGCATTTGAGGTTCTTCAGCCAAAGCCCCCCCCTAAATTCATCGTGGGCGCGTGAGGCTATTGGCCTTGACCTAAGGTGTTATTTGTTTTGTAGGTGCAATTTTGTCCAAGAACAAGGAGGAAGAAATTTGCATCCACAAATTGGTGTTTTCATTGAGAGTTGAGTCCCCGCTCGTAGAAGACTCTCGCATCCAAGGTTTTTCTATTTTTCTTGTACATTTGTAGATTTTTCGTATGTTTTTATTATTAGAATTTTTTATTTGCAAAAATTCTTTGATAAAATGTAATAGAGAAGTACAATGGCTAGAAATTTAGAAAATTCAAATATTCAAGAGATGGGACCGCGGTGATTCCCAAGGCTAAATGTGACAATAAGTGGAGCGGCACCACCACCATGAGTTTCCATCACGGGAACCACCGCGGTGGCTACCACGGTAGCCACCCACGGCGAGGTCTATGATGTCACCACCACGGCCCGAGTCGTGCCATCCAAAGCCTACAGCACCAAGGTCACGACCCAAGCCAAGTCACTACACGCCTAACGTGAACCCAATGCGTTGCCAAGCCGAGCCCAAGCCTCGCACCCACATGCGTTGCACATCGAGTAGCCTACTCCCGTGGCCCAGCTTGCTCCCGCTGAGCAGCCTATTCCCGTGGCCTTCCAAGCAGCCTAAATCAGTCCAAGATTAGTTCAATCATCCCGACTCCAAATTTCTGGACCGACGATCAAACCAGAAGCATTTTCACCACATTTTTCTGCGGATTTGACATTTCCCAACTCAAATCTCGCGCCCAGAGTCGACCATACTTCCACTGCTCAATGAAATACATTCCTTCCAAGTTATTCTAACCCAAATGGAGAACAACACTTGTCTCGACAAGTTATAGAGTTGACGAGCACCCTCGCATAGCAGACGACCTTGGTGAATCAGCTTTTGCAACCCACCGAGATGCAATGTGCCCCTGACAAGGTGTCCCAACGTAGGACAAGGGCAGACGAAGAATCTCTCCAGCAAGCAGCCACTTAACCAGTCGCGAACCGAGCGTTCTAATGTAGTATACTCTAGTCTTAGCACGAGGAGAAACATGCATTCTCAGTTAGGCCCACGGACAAACATATACTCACGGTTGGGGCCATACTCCGATAATCAACATGAGCAACATTCTAGGTGAAGTGTTCATTCGCGGCAAGGCCCGCAAGGAGCATCATTCACCTCACATCAAAGTAGGCAGCACAACGGACAAAGAGAAGCAATCACTCAATCTGGCTCAAGTTCAACCAGCAACCTATGAGTTACTTGCTCGCTTGCTAGGAACATACCAAATGCACCGCAGCTGCACTGTAGACTAGCTGAACATATGGATGAGCATCCTAGACCAGTAGGTCACGACCGAGGACAGCCGAGAGCTCCGCCATCCCCAACAAAGGTAAATTCAGGAAAAAGTATAAAAACTCATGACCAAGCGATTTAAGAGATTTCTTGCGCAACGAAGCTATTAACAAGGCGCTCCGATGAGACATGACCAACATAAACTAGTCATCTTTCAATGACAAGATCGAGCAGGCGGGACTACCCCACATAGATTGCCGGATACAAAGACTACTTCTGTTCCGACAACAGCTTAGCCTAATGGTGCGCCGGGGGTAGACGAGTACCAGAATGACACACTAACCCAACTACCAAGAATCGAAGGCATGCCTTGTTCTCAACACTTCAGACGATTTAATACTGAAGTAGCACATCATCAGTAGCCAAGCATCACAGACTTATTGGTCCAATTCCTCCTGTTGCGCACAACCTGGCCTAAGCCCTGCTTTCACAATCGTGCCTACCTGCTCCACGGCTCTCGACAGCCATTGACCTATCACCATGGCTTATAACTGTGTCAATCTTGCACCACGGTTCCCAGCTGTGCCGATTTTGCCACGTTGCTCACATCAACCAAGCTTCAAAAGGGCACACGACGAAACACATAATGATGGCACAATAATTCTGGGAATTGCTCACTGTGCTTACACCCTTACGTGGGTTCCACAAACAGTTCGAAATCTCAAGCAGTTCGCCAAACAAGACCTCGCAGGCTGAGGATTATTTCAGTTGTCCAGCAGTCCAGCTTTCCTTAACTGTTGTCCACAACAACTACTCAAAACCCTTTATGGGTCCACTCTCCAGTGTGAGAGGATAAATTAATTGCTCTCCAATGCTAGAGGGTAAACCAATTCCCCGACACCTATATGGGTCTGCTCTCTAGTGCGAGAGGATAAACTAATTACTCTCCAGTGCGAGCACCCATATGAGTTTATTTTCCAGTGCAAGAGGATAAACTAATTGCTCTCTAGTGCGAAAGGGTAAACCAATTCCCCGACACCCATATGGGTCTGCTCTCTAGTGCGAAATGATAAACTAATTGCTCTTCATTGCGAAAGGGTAAACCAATTCCCCGACACCCATATGGGTTTGCTCTCAAGTATGAGAGGATAAACTAATTGCTTTCCAGTGCGAGAGGGTAAACTAATTGCTCTCCAATGCGAGAGGGTAAACTAATTCCCCGACACCCATCTGGGTAAGCTCTCTAGTGCGAGAAGGCCACATAAGTCAAAAGATCAAATGCTTGAAGATCAACTAGGCAGTAAATGGTCATGGGGCATCAACCACTTTTGCACTTAATAGTTCGCTCATCCGATCCGACACTTCATCTTCAACAGCTCCGATCTTGGCAGCTCCACCCTTGACTGCTCCATCTACGGCAGCTGATAAATCAAACTCAAGCAGTTTCCTCATTTTTGGTAAGCAGCCCAGACGTGCAGCACAAATCGTTGCCCATGCCTATCTTTAGCTTCAATCAAGCCGAGCAACACAAGCAATGGCCCCTGCCACACCACCTCATTTGCCCATGCTAAGCCAACTTCTGGCCCTTGCCAGCCGAAGTGCCGCACCACCCCAACAGTTGCCTCGTGGCAGCACCTCCCAAGAAGAAGACAATGAGAATTAAGTTTTTCTTACATTGGTGCGGCTCAAAGAAGACAAAGAAATCAACGGAAGACAATTCTTTGCATAGGCAAGCAAAGAAGAGTGCTAAGGGAGGGGGAACAAATATCATCTAGCTTTCTCTCTTTCTTATAGGGATAAATAATTGCCCTCCGAAGTTGATTTAATCCCCTACTTAACGTAGGCTTAAATAGGCTATGGAGCCGATTTATTTCCCTTTCATAGAAAAAGCTAATTCCAAGTCCAAGAGATAATCTGCATCAAAGTTGGAGATCTCAACACCTGTTGCCCTTTCCTGTGAGCAGCCCAGCAGGTGTGGGGGCATTTGTGGAGCCAAAAATAATCAAGAGAGGACACGTGGATTTTTGGGTAGAAAGGACAAAATTACCCTTGAGAAGCACTGGAATTCCCATGCACGAGCAATGGAAATCATCCCATAATCAAGTCAAAAGTGCCCAAAATATGTATTTATTCAAAACCTACTTCATCCATCTTTTCCACAAGGTAACCCCAAAACATTCTTTTTAAATTATGTTAATTAGCTAATTAATCTATTAATGGCTAATTAAATTACCAATTAACTACAAATACACTCAAAAACATCACAAAGGGCCGGCCACCTTCTCCCCCAAGGATGCCCGCCATGCCTTATATATACTACCCCTTTTTCTCTAAAAACCTAGGTCTACACTCTTGCTAAATACTCAAAATTCTCCAAACAGTTTTCCCTCAAAATTCTAACTTTGGCATCAGAGGTTCTTCGGCCAAAGCACCACCCCCATTCATCGTGGACGCATGAGGCTATTGGCCTTGACCTAATGTGTTATTTGTTTTGTAGGTGCAATTTTGTCTAAGAATAAGGAGGAAGAAATTTGCATCCATAACGCGGACAACACATGACATGGAAAATTAGATGGATAAAAATTGGAAGAAAATTTTAAAATCTAACGCTAGGGGAAAAATTGGTTATTTAATAAAATTTTAGGTATAATTGGCTAAAATTAAAGTTTAGGGAAGAAATTGGCTATCAAAAAAATTCAAGGGTAATTGACTAAAATTAATGTTTAAAGGGAATTTAGCACCTCTCTACAAGTTCAGAGGCCAAACTCTTCAAAATATCATTTTGCTCCAATAGTATTCTCTTTTTGAAAAATACTTATTATTATTAGCTCATAAGTCCTCCTTTACTATACATATAAGCCTATGTGCTTTGGTGCCATCCATCTTTCAAAGATCAAGGTTGAACTTGCTCGAAAATCTTCCCATATTTCTGCCTTTCTGGTTTAATCTATAATGCACTCTACAGAACCGTACATGAGATTTTCACCTCATACGGATCCTCGTTCAATTCTTTTGAAGTCATTGGATCATTTTTCTCGTTCGAGAACTCTTCCCTTCTTCCACTCCGTTCTGAAGAGTAACTAGGACCAATTCAATCACGTTTTCATTCATTTGGGGTAATTTATCCGTTAATATCTAACAGAGGCTGGTCTATGGAGCCAAGGCCGAAGCAGCCATTGCCGTCGGTTTTGATGATTTTATTGCTGATGCATTGAGAGGTACCTGCTTCTACCAAAAGGCTCACCTGGAGATCAAAAGAGCAGATGGCAATGAGGCTTTCATTGCAGAACAGGTCTTTGAGGAAACACAGGTAAAAGTTCCAAATGTACTGAACTTTGCTGCTGTGCTTTCAAATGGCTTCTACTCCATCAAGCTTGACATGTCGAATAAATTATTACAACGGTAGTAGCCGTCCTTGTTTGATCTTCTGTAGCGAAATACGAAGCATTTTGATCGTTATGCTAAGATTTAATGCCGAATCCAGTTAAGCAAATACTTCTAGCCTTAGATGGCAGCAGATAATTTACAACAGAGTCAAATATTTGCAGTTTTTGCATCTTATTGCAATTCATGCCAAGCAAACAGCACGTCTTTTATTTATAAACAGTTACAGGAGGCCCTAATGCATCGCATTGGATACTTGAAATTGTTGGAAATTTTGAGTAGAATTTCATTGTCCCACATTACTCATCACCACAAGGTTTCCTCACTTTATAAAGCTTTGTCCTTTATAAAAAGTGATTAAAGTGATGGACCTTGGAGAGTAAAATTGGGCTCACCCTTAAGGTTGGGCTTTAGGATGTAATAATTAATTGATAATTAATATATATAATTAATATATATTAATTAATTATCAAAAGATGGTCTTGGACCTTGGGGCTCTGAAAATTAAATTCTTTAATTAATTATTTTTAATTAATTTCGAATTTAATTAAATTATTTTTTATTTCTGAAAAGACTCATCTTTTCAGATGAAGTCTGAGAGCGTATCTGAGAAACAGATGGAGCAGTACATCCTTTACGTTGAAAAGTCGCCTCCCAAAAACATGTCTGTTGCGAACAGACATATGATCACAATATATATATATATATATATATATATATATGCATTTGTATATCATTCAAATCACTGAAAATTATCAATCCTCATATACCAAGCATACTGAGAGTACCACAAACAAATTCGCCAGAAGTCTAGTTTTCCGGTGCTGAAATTCTAACTTAGATCGTTGAATCCTGTTGAATCCTGGTGAAGCAGACGTCCATCGAACTGCAAGCATTGAGTAGGGACGAAATTTCTGTTTCAAGGAAATTACGATACGAAAACCTCGATCTTCAAGTTGTTTGTTTTATAATTGTGTTTTGTTCATACTCTGTTAATTTTTATATCTGCATTTATTGTTTATTAGCATATATAATTAAATCACAGATTGTTGACTTATATCCAACGTATTTACATAATCCAATGGGACATCTACTGATCCATAATATCTAATATTCTACGATAATCGTTTAGTATTAGCATAAATCTTTTACGGATAAAGGGGGAAATCAAGTCTAAGCACTACGTAGCTTTTGCAAATCCTACCCTGAGATTACCGAAATCAAACACCGTGTGGTATGCTCCCAAGAACAGAGCTCCGAGAACCCTGCAGAATGAACCAGTCTTACATCAACTTTAAAATTAAAATATCGTGAACGAGTGACTAGGGCGGGACATGTCATGTTTCATGCATACTCGAGGCACAGTCGCTCCACACAGAGGTTTAGCATAATCACAGAGATCTGTTAAGTCGGACACAAAGGGTTCGTAGTGGCGTACCATAGAGGACCTTGTGGAGGAGGCACATCCAAAGCAGTAAATCCACTAAGGCAGACAGTGGAGCATTTTTCTTCTACTTTAAGTATGTACTGAACATCAAGTCCGAAAGGTTTTAGAAAATATAAAGGAAAAAATCTTCAAAATTGTAAGGAAAAAATCTCGAGGAATAAAGTGAGACTGTGAAGCATTAAGTATACCTGTTCTGGAGAGAGGGTGAAGGATTTGTTTCTGATCGTAAATGTAATATCCGGCATGAATGCAATGTTATCACAGTTGACAAATGACCTTTTTAGCGGATTTGGAAGCTTCTCGCACAGCTTTATAATTCACCAAAAATTCGCAACAAAATAAAAGAATCAAAAGAACTTTTAGATTGGTCTATATGCATATTCATCAACCAGGCAGCCTGAGACTTCGAGAAGAATTACCTCATTCACATAGCTAAATATTTTTTCCTTTTCTATTTGTTTTTTAAGCTGTAGTTGAACCCAGTAGACTATCATTTCACACAAGGGGCATGAAGGAGTTTCATCGACCGATGATTCCTTCCCGATTTTGTTCTCGGTCACTGACTCAATATGATTGCTGCAGAAGTAAAGGTTTTCCTTTTGTTATGGTATTTTGATGCAGATATCAAAACCTGATAACAGTTGTAAGAAAAGAAAGTCTCAACTTTATATTCCGAGAACCATCGTATGAACATAGACCGATGTCCACACACACTATATCAGGCCGCGCCTGCAGACAATGTGAGGTAAATTATAATGCACTAGTTCATTTCTTAAGAGGAATTTCAAAGGAAGTTTTGAGGAGGATGAAAGGTAGAGAAAATACAAACCCCAGATATTAAATATTCCCATATCAAATTTCCGTAAGTGGAAATGACATTTTTACATTCCAAGCTCACAAATCCGTCTGCTCCAATGGCATGGTTGATCTGAGCCACAATAGTCTGAAAAAGAAGAGCTAATCAATGATGGAATACAAGTTGTTACTGCAGAACGAAAGCAGAAAAGAGGAAAAATTAGTTTGAGGGAAGTATTAGGCACGAGTTGATACAGTTGGACCAGCAAGGAAGGATGTCCCTGAGTCTACAATGGCACTACAACCGCCCTTGCACAGTCCTGATAATTTCAAATTTTGATGTTATGCCATGAATTCCTAGACTTGTCGAGATTCTAATTAGCAAATTTAATCTTTAAGATGGAATAAAGATAGTTAAACAACGTAGGAGTGGAAGTGTAATGGAACCTGTAGAAGTGTCTGCAACAATAACATCTCCAACCTCAATCTGGAGAGATCAGTGAAACCGAAACAAATGTCATCTCGTTAGGCAAGAAAAAATATGTAACTGCGGAACACCAACTTCTTATCACTACAATAAACCTGCCAGTAACCCTTTTGTGAAATTGGGACGTATGTGTGATCACCAGTAAAGTGCCTCCAATCAAATCCACCAAAGACAATCTCACCTCCCACCTTCGATGTTGGATCATGATTTAGCCAGATGGAGAAAATTTGCTGGCTCATATGACCTTGTTGCGCCATGTTAAACCTGCACCCGGAAAACTAATGTATGCTTTTAAGCATCAAAACTCTTTCTTTTCATTCTAAAAGCATCGAATTCCAACAGGAAGAGAAATACCGCTAAACCAAAAGCTAGTTTATGATATATCAGTGCTAAAAAGTTTATGCCAGAACCATACCACACTGGTGTGGCTTCACCAACAGAAATATCCTGAAATCCAAGTCCAAGGACTCCATCAAACCGTGCCGTTAAGAATGTTAGGAATCCTTCCCTTGTAATCTCAACAAATTCCTATAGGATGGGAACAGATATTCCAAAAGTATCAACAACTTGGAAAAGGAACACATTTAAACAAACACTTCAGAAAACCCAAAAAGGAGAGACAAAGTGAGAGAGACCCACTTGATCTCTGACGATAACATCCCCAATTTTCAAATTATCTTCACTAAAGTAGCCGGAAATCGAACCAGACCCATAAGGAATTTTGGAGGGTATTCCTAAATAATTAACAACACACAACATCAACATGCAGTCAAATTCTATAAAAAAATTGCTCAAAATGTAAGGGATAGGAAAAAATTACCAATTTTGGTATAAGTGCTCGAAAGGCTTGCCCTGTATTTAGAATGAAAATAGCAAGACATCTGCAAACATTCATACTTTTACAAACTACTCAGAAACTCCAGGAACAACAAAAGAAAATATAAAATTTCACTGCAATTTACACTTACAGAAAGGATGCATCTTGAAGATGGGACCCACAGATTGGAGCTGCCGGTGTCAAAGACAACAGCAAAGTGCTGTGGTGGGGTGCCAATAGCAATGTCCCCATAAAACTGGGTGTCCCGATAATTTTTCAGATCCACAATGTTGGATTTGAGATCACTGGGTTGGGAAACTTGTGACCTGGTGATTCTTGCAGCATTCAATCTGGTGAGGTCCAAAGGCTGCTTCTTTAGACCAATTCTCAGTAACCCATCACTGGATTTTGTATCAGCAGCCAAGGAGCCTGACCAAACCCACATACAAATTGCAACCACAAGTCCCTTAAACCTCATTTTCAGACTTCTGTGGCTGCCATGGAAAATAATAAAATACAATTTTAGTAGACTGAATTTCACCACAGCTGTGCAGTTGGACCCCAACCTCATAACTATTCATCCATTCAATTTCATTATTTGTGTGTGACAAATTTTCACTACCAACTTCAAAAATTTCATTTTTTCGCTTGATTCGAGAGATATTGTAATCTAATCTAAACTATGAGAAGAAAAATTTAAACTTGAGTGCATAAAGTAAACACATTATTCTAACCAACTTGACTATACGCTGATTTGCAACTCTGAATAACTTCTTATAGAATCATCATATTTCAAAGATTTGAACTTAGCCTAAGAAATTTTGTGATATGAATGAAAATTTTCAGTTAAGCCTCAGTACTAAGTGACTATATCCTATACGAGTGGAATTTTACATCGATCAAGCTCAATCTTCTTATCTGATAACAAAAGAATATGCCCGACAATATTAACTCACATGGTAATAATCATGAAGATGTAGTGTTCATACCTGGCAGCAGTTTCAGGTGGGAAGGAGTGGCATGGCTTCCGCTATTTATAGAAGTAGGGGGGAGACCAGAGAGAGTTTGGGAAACCACGAGGCAGTTTCTAGGTCTGTACGGGTTTAGGAATTGACCAAAATAATATACGGACATGGACAAATAATATACGGACATGGACACGTACCTTGCTTGCTTGCTAGCAGAGAACGTATCTTGCTTGCTTGCTTGTAGAGAACGTATCTTGCTTGCTTGCTTGTAGAGAATGCTCAGCTGCCAACTGCTAAGGATTTGTTACCATAATGTTTGAGTTGAGTTGGGAAATTTCTTCATGAATGATTGAATGGCAAGTGCTAATTGGCACGTACTAATATAGTAATAAACGAATCGATTACAAATTTTTAATAAAAACTAAATTGAAGATCGCTAAAACATGTTTCGGGTTTTTTTTTTTTTTTTTTTTTTGCGAATATACACGTGTCAGTGCTCTTCCATTTTTTATTTTTTATTTTTAATTAAAGTTTGTAAACTTTTTTGTATGTATTTCTTAATGCTATTTTGTACTATAACCACAAAAATGATACTACTCTTTGTACTCTGATAACTATTAATCATATTGCTCGCGACCAAACCTCACTTCTATGGATGCTAATTATTTAGAACCGAGTTTTTTAAGATGACCATCAACAATGTGATAAGTAAATTCTTCCCACCTCTTTAGCGAATAATATATGACACTTCACTATTCATTTCTTAAGTTTTTCGGGTGATATGTTGCATGTTTACCTTTGCCGATTTGAAATATATTCTCCCCCACCTCGTTCAAGCCCTAGCTGCTGAAGAACGGATAATTTTGAGAGCGATTATCTTTAAATCATCTCAAGTTCTCAACTCTGTCATGTTTGTCCTTGGACATGTTTAACACAAGTCATTTTGTAAAGGATGCAAAAACGTTGTTAAGGGTCACTAGAAACCATCTCCATAGTTTGCCAATAGAGTTTTTCATCGCCCCGCTGGATTTGCCCTAGTATAGGAGATACTTGTAGGTAGTTTGAAGAACTACCTGACTTGAATATTGATGTTCCACTTGAGGATTGTTATGCACTTTTATCGTTTCGTTTGTATTTATTGTTGTGTGGTATTCTTTTTCCTTAAATCCAATTGACAATCCTGATTAAAAGAAAATTTCTAAAGAATAATAAAAATAGTTTGGGCCTGGTGGGCCATCCTGATGATGGGCCTAGATAGGAAGCCCAAAGGCTGATGATTAGGCCGGGTTACATAAAGATCATAAAGTAAGGAGTTTAGCGCCCAAATCACGCGTGTAACGGCGGCAGGTTTTTCACGTTACTTTCTTCATTTTTGGAGGTTGGGAGATGTTCATGTCGCAAAAAGGGGAAAAAATAAAAATCTAAAACCCAAAATTCAAATACTCTGCAAATGCGAGAGTGGTAACTCACTGAGTCTGTGACTCGGCACTCTGCAACTCTCTGAGTTTCCTGTCCAACAATGGCTTTGGAGGACGACGACTGGGATTTGAGCGCCGAAGAATTCGACTCTCTCGAAAGAGACGCGTTCCAGAAACTCGCTCAGCAACGCGTCAACTCCGCTTCCACTTGTTCTTCCTCCTCCTCATCTTATCCTTCATACGATCACCGCCAGGTGCACCAGTCTTTCCTTGCCACGAACAATTACAACAGCAACTGCAGCTTCCAGAGTTCCCCTGCGAAACCCGTTTCGAATTCTCTTCCGAACAAGGTGAAATTCGTCATTTTCCCATCAATGGTTTCTTTTTAAGTATCTAGGGTTTAGTATGCCTAATTAATTGAAGTGTTCTTTATTTCTGAATTCGAATTATTACTATGTTTTTCTTGGATTTTTTTGAATAAAAATTTAAAATTTAAAACCTTTATCTGTGTACATGTTTGTTTTGCAACAATGCAGGTAGCACCTTTGTCAACCGGAACTAGAGTATTACCTCCATCAGTCCCATGTAAAGTAAACCTGGGTAATTTCCCCCCTTACCCATTTCCTTTACACTTTTACTTCGAAGTTTTGAACATTTTTCTTTTACTGAAGTGTTAAAAATTAACTCTTTCCAAGAAAAAGTAGCTTATGAAACCATATTTTGACTGCTTCATCACGTATGCTACTTGTATCGAGCATGATAGTGGTCTTAAAAGGACTTATGCCTTTTCATATTTAATAGTTCTTCACTTTGAATATCGAAACTGAATCAGGAATTAAATGCCCCACCTTGACAATCACCAATGGTTAATCTTCCAATTTGTACCAGTTTGAACCTTTTTCATTCAATTTTATTACGGGCTGGTTGCATTGTTCTACCTGCTGATCTTATGTAGTTTCTGGCTAACTTTGGCTCCTATCTCTATCTTGTTACCTTTTTACAAGAATATGAACGACTAAAAGAGCTACCGAAGATCACTGTTAAATTTTTTCTTCATGCTAGCGGAAACATTGCTGCAAAATTTCCTTATGACCAGGTATTTTTTTGGGTTAAAAATGTTCATTCACAACACTTGTCAAACTCTTCGTTTCGTTATCAATTATATTCCATGTTGCACCAGGGGGTAGTAGGTGCTGTTCGCAAAATCCCCAAAGCCACATGGTATGCAAAAGAAAGGTATCCCTACTTGATTCCCCTTCCTACCCAAAGCCACTTGGAAAATGCATTATGCTTTCTCTTCATATCTTGTATGGACTTTTGAGAAACGTGGACATGTTGTGGGATGGAGCCCCAGGCAGATGTAATAGTGTTGAAACTGCAGGTTATGGATGTTTCCTATACCTTCTTTGTCATCTGCAGAGAAAGTTCTTCATGAGACATCTAGTGTTAATGTTGAGGTAATAACTGTTGCCCTTTTTCTAGTTTTACTCAGGTGTTACATTATGGTTTAGTTTAAATTGGCACACTTTGATTTTTGGCATATACATTCTTAGCGTTTGTGTTTGAAGTTCACCAAAATTGGATTGCTTTTTCACTTTGTTTCATCATTTGATACTTTGTTACAAATTGTTTCAGATAGAGAACTTAGATCCCTTAGTCCACCGTGCTATTGCTGCTGCCTCTGTTGTTCCAGACCTTCGAGGTAAAGGGTGATTACGCTAGTATTAGTCAAGTTCAGTTTGTGCATAATTGATATGTTGGTATGAGTTGTCCTTTTCTTTTCCAGACAGTTTTCGGGTTTTTACATAATTATGAGTGAATAAGATCTGTAACATGCAAATTGGAAAAAAGAAAGATAGGCTACAAGTATGTCTTCTATGTTTTAGAATGTAAGCTCGTGAAAGGGTAAATATTGGTCTCTATTATGGTATTTTTAATTGTTTTAGAGTGACAGGTTCTAATTCTAGACATCTTTCATTTTTTTTTCTTCTAACTTTTGCATGTTATTTTTTAATTGTTCTTTTGTTTTTTGGTGTCTTCACTGTCCAGACCAATATGATAGGATACCTAGTTGTATTGAATCAAAGCTCTTGCCATTTCAGCGAGAAGGTGTTAGGTATATTTTAAATCTGCAGATTCTCCTTATTTGTAGAGTGTTATATGCAACTTGTTTATATTTACATTCTTCTGGGTCTCTGATAGTGTTGCGGATATTATATTATTTTGTCCCCCATGAAATATTGAATTTTGCTTAGTTATCATTTTTAACATCATTATTGTTTTTTCTAGGTTTATTTTGCAGCACGGGGGGCGTGCTCTCCTCGCAGATGAAATGGGATTGGGAAAGACTTTACAGGCAAGAAATTCTTCATGCGTACTCTTTCTGTACCTTCAATGATAAACAGTCCCATACAACCAGTCCTGCATTTGAAGTACTTTCTACTTTTATACAAGTTTTCCTGGTCATGATCCTTTGACAACAGCTCCTAGTTTTGTGGATTTTATTAATTAAGGTACAGTAAGAATGCCAAAATAGGACAACATAGGTGGGCGCTTCCTATGATTATATGGGTTATAGTTTGCAAATGTCAGAAACTTAATCAGAAGTTTGGAGGACAGATGAAGAATATTTAGGTTTGCTATAGGTTCAAGGAAACTGGAGAGATATAGAAGAAAATAAGTGAGTAGATGATAGGGGAGAAAGTATAGAGAGAAATATCGGTGGGCTCTTTGGAGGACATTGCAAATTGTGTGCCGTCGATGGCTATGGTGGGTTGCAGATGCCAGATTTTTTAGCAGCTAGAAGAACTTTGGGTTGAATTCATACATTAAATCCAATTCCAGAATCATTGGTGTAATATGGTGCCAATATGGTGGAGTTCCCTCTTGCATAGCTATAGGGTGATTTGTAACAATACGATAGAGATGCTTCCATGGGATTGGAATTTATATCTGCAAAACCATTCCCAACTTTGGCCTTAGATTGAAACCTTATACATTTTTTTCAGGCTATTGCTGTTGCATCTTGTGTTCGTGACTCTTGGCCTGTTCTTATAATCACACCGTCTTCCTTGCGTTTGCAATGGGCCTCTGTAAGTGCTGTATTGAATTTCGTTAGTAGGAAGGTTGATCTTGCAAAAAATAATGTACTCTTTTTCTTTCTTGCAGATGATTCAACAATGGATGGACATCCCTTCATCAGATATACTTGTCTGTTATTCGCTATTCTTGTCTAAATATTCTGGTCACTTTTTTTTATTCAGCTTGAATATTGAACACATTCTCAGCAGTCTGATGCATTTTTAGTTATTATAAACTTTGTTTTTGAATTCTTTTCACTAGGTTGTTTTGTCTCAATGTGGTGGGTCAAACAAAAGCGGGTTTACAATTGTATCCTCAAACGTCAAAGGGACCATTCATCTTGATGGCCTATTTAACATCATCTCCTATGATGTAGTCCCTAAAATACAGAATCTACTATTGGCATCAGAGTTTAAGGTGAGGACTAAAACAGTCAATGTAATGTTCCCTTTACTTTCTTTTACTAAATAACACAATCTTATATTTTTGATCATCAGCTCTGTCAGAATACAGAGTATGTTGGCCGGCCTACTCATCCTCCACCTTTTTCTAGCTTTTAAAGCACCTAGATATTAGAAATAATGATTTCTATTAGTATTAGGCCAAATATGATTTGGTGTGAAAAGTTCTAAGCTGGAGACATGTGAAAGAACAACGAGAACTCTGTGTGTCTTTCATTTCTTTAGTTATTTTCAAAGAGTTCATAATTATAGGTCGTTTAGTTTTTAGAGATGCTTGTTATTTACCATCCAACTCTATGTTACCTAAAACACAAGTCTTTGTGGTACATGGAATGAGAATGGTAATTTGGTGGTACACCAGTTGCTTTGACTGCATAGAACCATGTGCTAAACTTGTAATGGTAGAATGTGAATGAAAATCTTAACTATTTCTTTTTTCTCTGCAGTACTGTCCTTCACATTTCTAACAAACCTAAGGATAGAAGTGTATGGTGTTTTCCTTGGATACCTTTTTGAAGGAATTAAGAAAACTATGTTAGGATCAAGGGATTTCCTCTAGTTTTCATGTTGCAACTGTAATACTACATAACATTTTCTTTAGAAACAGTTTGAGCCTCTTTTAAATTGACAAATAGTGTCCAACATGGTCATTAGGAAATCCTGCCGGTGTTTTTTTTTTTCTCTGTTTCCCGCTTCTTGCATACGCTGCTTCTTTTGATATGTTATTAACTTCTTGTTCAGGTTGTGATTGCAGATGAGTCACACTTTTTGAAAAATGCTCAAGCAAAAAGAACAAGTGCCTGCCTTCCTGTCATAAAGGTCTTTCTCTCTTGTGTACTGAATCTACTGATGACTAGCTTGCAACTGCTAACTTTTTTCTCAGTCCATTCTTCTAGCACCTGTCTCAGAGGGACCATTTGTATATATGTATTTTGAGGTGTACTAACAATAAGGTATTTTTGTGATGCTTCCTACCTTAACTAGTGACACTGATGTTTGTCATTTCTTCTCTAACTATGCACTTGATGGTAAAAGTAGTGAACTCATGTCTGGTTCAGTGAATGAAGTTGATGAAAATATTGGAAACAGTTTCAACACTTATAATTGAAGTTTGCAGCAAGTCATCAAGTAAACCGGGATTATTTATTCTTATTCTTGTAGAAGTATACAGAAAGGAGTAAAATCTAAGAAAATTGCTTGATGAAAGTTTTGAGACATATTGGGACCATTTGTATATATGTATTTTGAGGTGTACTAACAATAAGGTATTTTTGTGATGCTTCCTACCTTAACTAGTGACACTGATGTTTGTCATTTCTTCTCTAACTATGCACTTGATGGTAAAAGTAGTGAACTCATGTCTGGTTCAGTGAATGAAGTTGATGAAAATATTGGAAACAGTTTCAACACTTATAATTGAAGTTTGCAGCAAGTCATCAAGTAAACCGGGATTATTTATTCTTATTCTTGTAGAAGTATACAGAAAGGAGTAAAATCTAAGAAAATTGCTTGATGAAAGTTTTGAGACATATTGATCTCAATCTCTCTCTCTAACGTTTTCAACAATTTCAGAGGGCTCAATACGCAATATTGTTGAGTGGTACTCCTGCTTTGTCCCGACCGATTGAACTATTTAAGCAGGTATTTCTAAACTCTAGTTAAGAAGCTGCAACTACAAGTATCTTTATCTAGAATCTAATCATTTGTTTATTAATTTCTTTGAATTTAACAGCTTGAAGCCTTGTATCCTGATGTATACAAAAGTGTTCACGAATATGGTAATCGATATTGCAAGGGAGTAAGTCACTATTTCTTTATTTTGAAGATGGTTCTGTCACGTTATAAGCAATTCTGTTCCTTACTCGTTTGGAATTTCAGGGAACGTTTGGATTGTATCAAGGTGCATGTAACCATGAAGAATTGCATAATTTGATGAAGGCAACAGTGATGATTCGCAGACTAAAAAATGATGTTCTTTCTGAGCTTCCTGTGAAGCGTAGGCAACAGGTCCATGCTTTGTCCAATCTGTGTTTTGACCTGTGGGATGGCCTTAGTAGTCCTGTTACAATCGGTGATCTTTATCTTTCTTTCATTCCCCTGCCGATCTCAGGTCTTTTTGGATTTGGCTGAAAAGGACATGAAACAAATCAATGCTTTATTCCGGGAGGTAATCTAAGTCTTTTTAATGAAGTTGATAAGTTGAGAATAAGTAGCTATTGCCCTTGGAGTTCCAACTAGCTGAAGTCTAGTCATGTGCTGTTTTGCTGTTATCTTATATGAACCCTTTTAATTTCCTTTTTCCCTATCTTTAATTAGTTGTATGATTTCTTGGCTGTGGCACCGTGTGCAAAAACATATTATTAATGTGCCGTGTAAAGTTTACTTTGTTCTCAAGCGTAAGGAAAATTATAATAGAGCATAGCTGCTGTTTATCTCCTTTTTGTAGTTGGAAGTGGTAAAAGGGAAAATTAAGGCCTGCCAATCCAAAGAAGAGGTTGATTCACTTAAGTTTACTGAGAAGAATCTTATTAATAAGGTATTCATGCATTACGCACGCAATGTAGTGCACATGGGCCCAACGTAGTTCCTTTCTTATACTGAAGATGCTGAAATGGTCACACCATTTCCTCTTGTAGTTTTTCTTTTACAATTGAGTAGCTAACTTTGAACCCTTTAACCACCTCATTTGTGCTCCAGATTTATACTGATTCTGCTGAGGCTAAGATCCCTGCAGTTTTGGATTACCTGGGAACTGTCATTGAGGTACCTCACCCTATGTTATATCCTTCTCTCTGTCTTTTAGTTCTATTTCTCTAAGGTGATTTTGTTTCCTTATCATTAGTTTAGTCTGCACGTTTTCCTTTTCAGAGTTTAAAATGTTGTTATACAATGGTTCTTGCAGGCAGGCTGCAAGTTTCTAGTATTTGCACACCATCAGTCCATGATTGATTCGATATATCAGTTTCTTCTGGTAAGGCCACATGAATTCATAATTTCCTCTAAGATTGACCAATTTTCTTATAAGAACTGCCAATTTCCAGAAAAAGAAAGTGGGTTGCATTCGAATTGATGGAAGTATCCCTACTGTTGCGAGGCAAGCTTATGTTACAGAATTTCAAGAAAAAGATTCTATCAAGGCAGCAGTGGTATGGCAGTATGCTTCTTTTATATACTTTGTTTTCTGTGTAACCAACCTAATTGAGTTCTGTGTAATTGGAATTGTCAAAAAAACGAAAAACTGAAAATTTTGAGTGCTACATCTCAGGTGTTGTTCTGTGATTTAAGTCTAATATTCAACCTTTGAATGTCATCGTGCAGCTATCTATTAAAGCTGGAGGCGTTGGATTAACTTTGACAGCTGCAAGCACTGTTATTTTTGCAGAATTGTCATGGACTCCTGGCGACCTAATTCAAGCTGAAGATCGTGCTCATAGAATAGGCCAGGTAAAAGTTCATGATTCTGAAGCATTCTTTGCATTAATTATAAGCTACTCTAATATTTGTTTATACACAACCAGCAAAAATTGATGCATTCCTTCATTCCTTGATATGTTTCTAACTTTCTGTTCATGTTTTTAGGTGGCTTCGGTCAATATATATTACCTTCTGGCAAACGATACAGTTGATGACATCATATGGTATGATTTTACGCAGTTGTCTACTTTCTAATTAGTTTGATGATTTTTGTACTTCCAACACTTTCTCTCTATCTTTAGGGATGTTGTTCAGAGCAAGTTGGAAAATCTGGGACAGGTAAAGTTCAATCCCCTTAGCATTCCTTCTTAGGGGAAAAAGGGGGAAAAAAACCTTTTTTGTTTTAACAGTAGAATGAACTCTGGTTTTTGGACAATCAGATGCTCGATGGCCAGGAGAATACTATGGAAGTTGCAGCCAGCCAGACCCGAATCACCCCTGCAAGCCAGCCGCGAAGCAGCCCTGCAAAGCAAAAACTTGCATTCAGCCAACCGGGAAGCAGTCCATCAAAGCAGAAAACACTCGACTCTTACATGAAGCGTTGCAACAGCAGGGAAGACCCCAAAAGTCAGCCTAAGTTCAAAACCCAAAGGCCCTGAATGAAGGCTATGCTGTACAAAATGTTAATTTTGCCTGTTTGAAATGCGTTGAAAGCACAATATCGAAGCCAAACTAGTAATGTGAAGGGTTCTCTTCCCGTTCGAGGTTCATCCTTTAACTCACCTGTGTAAGATGTCTGGAAAGAGGTTTTGCCAAGTTGTCTGCAACTGCAACAAAGAGCGTTGAAGAATTATATCGAAAGTTCCGACTGGGATTTTCCTATGTTCACTTATTGTTTGCACGCGCTACTATATATTGAAGATCCTAACTGGTTCTGGGCTTGTTTCGGTTAATGTAATGTGTAGGAGTAGTTCTGTTTACACCCAATGCATACAAGCTTGTTTCTGCATGTTTACAATCCAGATTTGCACGTTTTGGTAGCATAACTTGTTTCGGCCATCGAGACCAATTGGATCCTTATTTTGTTAGGCCATTGGCGTCGCCTTAAGCCTCGATTCATCCGGTACATGGTACACACCGTAGCAAACTAGTATTTTTAACGAAAGGAACTCAAAGAAAATTGAAGCATGTGCACACAAGGGAAGAGGATACCGTGAATGGTGGTTTTTTCAGAAAAGAAAGTATTCAGCACTTGCTCAGTTTAACAATGGCTACAACCGAGTGTCTAAAACAAACACCGTTGTTCGAAAAAGAAAAAGACGAGAAAATAACGTTCGCATACTAATTGTATACTGCAAGTGTTGTATTAACTACAGACCGTACGCCATGGAATAAACAATTTTTGAGTGATTTTAAAAATTCATCCCTCAAGGCAGATAGGGATATAAAATTAAACAGCGTAATTTGAAGAGTTGTCTAGTAACTCCTGCCCCAGTAGGTCCATTTCTTGGCTGGTTTTCCAGAGGCAAAGCAAAGTGTCCCTGCACGGAAGTCCATTTTCAATTTCTGAACACTACGGCACTACTTTGCAATGAATGAACAACGCTAAAGAGATAACTGCAGATCATAAATTGCAAAAATGTTATGAAGTTTCGAAGTAATTTTAAAAGTGTACCTTCAGGAAGCTCAGGCTGCTCAAATGGAGTACAGAGTGACTTGGCTGCTCCGATTTCACCCTTTGTCCGTTTTTTCACGTCCTCTTCTACTTCCTGATAAATATGAAATAAACAGTAAAAGGAAAGACAATGACAGCAAAAAGAGTGCTGATATAAGAACCTAACCAGTAAAAAAATTAATGTGACATTGACAACCCCATCGTGTAATAAAGACACAACCGTAAGATTACAACAACAGAACGGTGAAATATCCACATTTGCTAGAAACAGCATTTCGAGCCAGATGATAGATTGTAATCTAAGTGACAGTGATAACAGTACCTGTTCATCACACCAAGGAGCCAAGATCATTTTCTTTTGGTTTAGAGCTTCCATAAATTCTTCCCATGTCTTTGCAACCTTGATAGAAGCATCTCGTTTTTCCTTCGCAACATTGAACAGATTTTCGTGAATTTTAGCCAAGATGTCTTGTACTTGCTCTACCAACGTGCTCACAGGAATGTCCTCTTTTGCTGAATTGTCACGGCGGACAACGCGAACCTAAAATCAAGAATTATGTCATTGTTTGCCATGTCTTGGACACCTCGATCTCCAAGGGTTAATCCAAGAACGGTAAGGAACAATCTTAACTAATGTTAGCTTGTCCACACACCATACAGGTCCTGACCCTAATATTACAAGGATAAAGATAAATCTTAACATGTTATACTCAAATATACAAGACTCGCCAAAAACCTGATATGCCAAATATTTTTCCGGACCTGCCTTCTAGGCTTTTAGCAGCTTACATTCATGATAAGGCCCAGAAATAAAACCATGAGAGCTGTGCAAAGCAGGCCCCTGGGCCTAATGACAAACTAACTCAACAGAACAAAAAGACCAGAAGCAAATATGAGCAACTAGATAGAAAATAACGAATTAAATGGAAGAACGGTCTCACTTGATTCTTTTCCAGATCCTTTGGTCCAATTTCAATCCTTAGAGGAACACCTTTCATTTCCCAATGTGAATACTTCCAACCAGGAGTTTGGTTGTCACTTAAATCTGCCTCAGCACGAATACCAGCTTTAGTCAAGGTATCCACAGTTTTCAAGCAGGCATCATATATTTCTTCCATAGGAGTATTCTTGTAAGGCACTGGAACCACAATAGCCTGAATTGCTGCCACTTTAGGTGGCAATACCAAGCCTTTGTCATCTCCGTGCACCATCACCATCACTCCAATCTAAACAAAATAACAAAAATGATAACACTAACAAAAAACAGAAAAGATTATGTGGATGGTAATAGCAACAATGGCGTGACATAAATTGACATTTGGTGGTGGAAATAGTAAACATTATGCATTGTCACTAAGTTAAACTTTACATAACAGACACAGCATTGTCTCTAAGTTAAACTTTGTGCACTAGCAAAAACATATTATCCTATTCACCAAAAAGAGAATAATTGGCCTAACGTACTTAGGATTATGTTGCCTAACATGGACAATGCACCTACCTATGTAGAATGTTCAATAGTCTCAGACTTGCGTCAACATAAAAATAAATTGCATAAAATATAGATAATGGTATTGTGTTGATGCATGATGACCAAAAACGTGCTTGATGCATGGCAAGAGTAATTAATTTCCAGAGAAAATAAAAAGTGTTCTTGTATAGATTTTGAATCAAACTTTAACACAGAAAAGAGAAGGGAGCAAAGTTACCGTTCGAGTGCTGTATGCCCAAGAGTTTTGCCAAACCATGCCCTTTTCTCTGTTTTCATTTTCAAAATTAATCTCAAACATTTTGGCAAAATTTTGACCCAAACAATGTGAGGTGGCACCTTGTACACCGCGGCCAGTATTTGGAATAAAAGCCTGCATGCATGAATTAATACACTCAAGCTTACCATAGAAGAGGCATAAGAAGGAAGATCAAATTATATATATATATAAAGAACATATTAAGTACCTCCACACTAGTAGTATAAAGACCACCAGCAAATTTCTCATTCTCACTCTTTTTTCCCTTCACAACTGGAACTGCCAAATAGTCCTCGTATATCCTCCGGTACAGTTCCAATATCTCAAGGACCTAAAACCAGGATGTATAATCAAAAAGCAATCTTCAAGGAAAGGTGACAATGGGTGAGAATCAGATTCGGCATAGTAAAAATTCAATTCTATCCTAAAAGTGTGATTGGCAACATAATAGGGCACTGAAGGGGGAAATAATAATCTAAGTGGCTCCTTACCTCTTCATCTGCCTCTGCCTTTGTTGCAAAAGCTGTATGGCCTTCTTGCCAAAGAAACTCCCGACTCCTGAGATCATAATAAGAAAAACCAAATTCAACAAACTTGTATAAAAAGAGAGAGTTCAAAGAAAATGGTCCTCGGACATAGAACAATTTGAAACCGTGACTAAACATGCAGCAAACACTAAGCAAGAACTGAACTCGATATCTATGAGAACAAAATGGAACAAATAAAAAGGTTTTTTTACTCATTGTGCTATTGTCAATAATACAAAAACACCACAGAAAGTATTATAAGAACACCAAAACCGTGAGACATGCTAATACCTGATAAATGGTGTAGGATTGCTGAACTCCCACCGGACAACATTGCACCACTGATTTAGCTTCAATGGCAAATCGCGGTGTCCTCTAATCCACTTAGCAAAATAAGGATACATAACAGTCTCACTTGTTGGACGAATTGCTATTGGCACTTCCAAGTCGGACTTTCCAGACTTTGTGACCCACGCAACCTATTTATGAAAATAAAAGCATGAAAAGAGAGGTAGTCTAAAACAATTAAGACCTTCCCCAAGAAAAAAATAATAATATACACATGGAGTAACACAGTGGCGGTGATTGGGGAATAACAGGACAGGCTTAAATTTTGGCAAAGTGACAAGTAAATTACAAATCTATCATTACACAATCATATGATTTCAAAAAACCAAGGCAAACACATAGAAGGTGAGGTTGCATGCTAAACACTAAAATAGGGGGCATGCAAAGGAGAAAAACAGGGAAAGAAAACTAGAATGAGAAATCATAATCAACACCAACGGAGCATGTGTATATGCTTATTTACATGTAACACAATAAATTAAGTCACACAAATGACATATATCTCACCTCTGGAGCAAAACCCTCAATATGATCCTTCTCTCGTTCTAGAACACTAGGGGAGACAAATAAAGGGAAATAGCAATTCTTTATCTTCATTTTCTTTATTTCTGCATCAAAGAATGCCTGAAAAGTAACAGTGTGTGAAGTGAGTAACTGTGATGGAGTTACATATAAATTTTCTAAAGAATTACAGAAATTTGCAAACATAAAAACTGGTACATAAAGTTCATAATTTTGACATTAGAGATGAATGTATAGCCACCAGTACCTAATCAGATAAGTGCAAAATGAGATTATGTAAAGTAAACTCAAGACAAGAGGTAGGAAATGAAAAAGTAGTATCGGGTGTCGAAAAGAATTCAGGCAAAATAGTCAACTAACAGGATGAGATGACATCAGTTGACATCATGCTTCAAAGTCAAATTTAAATTGAGTACTTCAGAACTAGACAGGGGGCGTGGTATCAAAATCCTGAGAACCAGATGATTGTTTACTGGTTCTAATAGCAAATAAAACTCATTAACAACATGAAATGGATTAAACAAGAAAAAGCATGCTTACTTGCATTGTCTCCCATATCGCAATTGTCCATGGCCTCAATATATAACAACCAGATATATCGTAGTATTCGATCATCTCACTATTAACAACGACCTAAACACAAGGAAACATATTCATTACTTAATTGTTGAATAAAGTTAATAAACCCCAGAAAAAGATAAAGACAGATACCTCAGAATACCACTCTCCGAAATTCTCATCCTTCTTCTTGGAAAGACCAAGACCGGTTTCTTTCTTCACCTCCTTCTTTTTCCCTCCTAAAAATCAGGAAAAATTAATATCAAAGCTAAGCCAACAGAAACACGGAAATCAAATAAGAACCCGAAAATTGAGAAGCCGAAAAGCGAAGCTCACCACCCTTGGCATTGGACTTCTTAGCACCCTGGTCCGCCATGTTTCGATATCTCTAACCTATATCAGACCACACACACCAGATACAAGATTATTACAACAATAGGCAGTGCTAAAAAACCATAAATCTACAAACTTAGACAATTTCATATATCCGGATAGCAGAATTATGCTCAAAGCTCAGTTCTTTTTGCTAAATAATACAAAAAAAATCCAAATGTAATCCAACAGGAACAACCCAGATTCCATTTTTGAACAACTCGAGATTGAAACGAAGAAAAATGCACGAAAAAAAATACTAGAAAAAAGGAATGAGAGAAAAATTAACCCAAAAAAATGAGAGAAAAAAAATCTGGGAAAGTTGAGTTTTTACCGAATTGAATCTGGTTCGTTGCGTTTGCGGCTCCGCAGTTGTGGCCTTTCACTTCTGAGAATAAAGAAAGAGAGAAGACAGCAGACTGGAAGACTTTTTTTGTTCTCACTGTACCGCAGTAGGCTTTTGCCCTAATTTTACTGCTTAGAAATTCCTTTGTCTGAGATACTTTTGGGCCTTCGGCCCAAACAAACAATAAGCTTGGCCCCAAAGCTACCTTATTGACCAAACCCTACGGACCAAGGTTGACTCGGTGGAAGAATGAGATAGAAAGATTAATTAGCGTCAAATTGAGTTGTAATATGATTAAAAATGAAATTATAACTCTAAATTGGGCCTTTAAATAAGAAAATATGAAACATAATGTGTACCTTGCTAAATCTTCTTTCTTGAAATGTTCAAGCGGTTCAAAATTTTCACGATTCGCTCGTCTAAATTTTCTAGTTTGATTAATAATATGACAAAGCTACTTGCTTCGTGTACGAGGACCTTATATTTTCTTTTTAGATAAAAAGAAACTAAACTTCATACCAAGTACAACGGTTTTGAAATCTCTCTTTCGACTAGAAAATAAAATACTGAAGAACAAAACATACAAAGAAACTGGCTCGTCAAAACTAGTCTACCAAAGTAACTCAAGACGAATGGACAATAACAAGCCATCAATCCATCAGTTCTCCTCGTACAACACTCACTTATTTGATTTCTTGGATACTTGTGTCAGTTGAGCTCATCAAGGTTCTAAAAGGTGCTCGGGACTAGTCGGGGCCTATAGAATGACATATATTATATTGGGAAACATGTGTCGGTTGAGCTCAAGTGTCTGTTTATACTTAAAAAATACATAATTGCATTGGATACATAAATTACAAAATAGATGACATATAAATTATAAAGTATTAAAACATAATGAAAATATGAAGAACAAACATATAATGTGTGTTATCTAAGTTCAACAAGTCTCTTACAATTTGCTAAACAAAATAAATGGAAAATGAAAGTTATTTATTTTCTGTCTAAATGAGAGTCACGACCTAAGTGGGTGTCTAGACGGGTTTGGACGGGCGCCTAAGCACGTCTAAGCGCATTTTCTTAATTTTCAAATGCCCAGGGAATTTTTAATAAAGTGGTTGAGCTGCAGCTGGGGCGGCGGATGCTGGTGCTTTCTCTTGAGGTCCCCCAGCCAAGCGTTCCTCTCTCCTGGCATGCTTCCTCTCTCTGCCAGCCTTGTTCTTTGCCCGCTTAGCCTCGAACTGATCAGACAGACTCTTGTCTCTGGCCTTCTCAGCCTTTGACTTGTGAATGCTCTCCATCAGCACTCTCTTATTCTTAAAAACATTACCCTTAACCTTCATATACATGTCATGGTACAAGTGCTTGTCAAGCTTCTTCGACTCACGGTACTTGCGAAGCAACCGCCTGAGCACACGCATCCTCCTTATCCAAAGGATCTTGGTAGGAAGCCTTGCCTCCCTGGTACCCTTGCGCTTACCATATCCAGAGTGACGTCCCTTTCTCTTAGCCTCCTTCATGCGACGTGCACGAGAGCGCGAGTGGATCTTGGTCGGCTTCCTGATGATGAAGCCATCCTTGACCAACTTCCTTATGTTCTGGCGAGAGTTGGCCATCGAGATCTCGCTGAGTTCATTGGGGTCGATCCAGACCTTGCCGCGACCGCACTTGAGGATGCTGGAGGCAAGCCTCTCCTGGAGTTTGAGCGAAACCATCGTCGGTGTCTTACCTCCTCTCTTTTTTTCTTTTTTTTTTTTTGGCAACTGCTGTGGTCAGAGAGGTTGCTAGGACTTTATATAGGCATTAAGCTTTTAGGTCTTTTATTTTTGATTTAGATTCTTTTTTTTAATGAGAAGCTTGGACCCCAAGAAACTCAATTGACCATCGTTGGGTTTTTCCTTTTGTACTAAAGCATATGTTTTTGTTTTATAGTTGGTCCATGGGAATCATTATCTTTTTTTTTTTAACAAGGGTTTTTTTTTTCTTCTAGTTTTAGATTTTATAACATTTTTTTTATACAAGCGATACGGAAGAAAAAGATATTTTTTTTTCCAAAATTATAGTTTTTCTAAACGTTGACCTCAATTTTAAATTCCGATTAAGATTCCGAGTTCAAATTCCTCGTTTGATTGAAAAAAAAAAGATACAAGCCGGATAAGTTGACCCAAATTTTTTGTTGTCAAATAACTAATATCCGCATCAAAGTGAGACCAAATCCCACCGTGTCTTGCAAGTAAAGTTACGTGCTCAACAATACCAACCAGATTAGAAATTTAATCAAATATGATCACATTTCTGAGCGTATTTCAAGTGTTAATTAGGTGTACGACTAGTTTTTCATTTAAGTTATTGAATACTTGCACCATCCATCTATTATTTGTTCTCACAGAAAAACAGATTAAAAGGAAAATTATAACCAGCACACCATTTTGCTCCTTTCACTTTGCTTGTGCTTGGTCTCGTTTGTGTTTTCGCTTGATTCATTCAATCTGATGGTCATAAATAAAGAGAAATGCAAGCAGGAAAAAAGTCGTGTGATTAACTAGTACGTAGTAATTGCAGATACACTGCCTATCTATTTACATTTACAGTAGTAAAAAGATAAAAAGTTATAAAAGAACTGGGACCTGTGGGCATGACAGTAAAAATGCAAACTTCAAAGTCACAAGACATACATTACACCAAAAAACAAACCAATCCAATGCCATATCCCTTGCAGACCAATAAAAAAGCTAAACCTAAGCTGCAGGAACAAGCTCCAATTCCTTGCTGTCTTCCCCAATTAAATTAGCCACAATGAGGCTCACATCTTCCATGCCAACACCAATGTACAAAGGATTTGTGGGAGTTCTAATCGAATCATCCATTCCGTCGGATTGAATCCCATCTATGGTGCTCGAAACCCTCACATTAGGGCCATTTTTGCATTTTCCCATACACTTGCACCCTACAACAGTCCTTTCAACAGCCATCTGCCTCTCAAATTCTTTCAACAATGCTCCGCCTCCTGATTTCTTGCACTTGTTTCCCATGCACACCTCAATCCTCTTCGCAGATACTCCGACAACTGAGCTACTTTGTGTGTCATCAACGCCAATAATACCACTGCTACTGCAACTAGTACTAGTTCCATTGCAGCATTCCGCTTTCTGACCAATCTGTAATCTCCCAAGTTCAATGCCATTATCCACAGTTGTGTTCTCTTGATAAGTAGCTAGCGAGCTCAGTATGGTCAACAATGCCCCTTCTTGATGAGCGAATGGCTGCAAAACATCCACCATTGGTTGTGCTGGGTCTTCAGTTCGCAGGCGCTTCATGTCTACCACCTCCCCGCACTCACTGTCACTCGATTCAGACGATGAAGATGATGAGGATTCACTGTCAACCATGGTTTTCATCCGCTCGGCTTTAAGCCTTGCCTTCTCTTCTTTCCTCTTCTTCTTCAATTCCTTCTCATTTTCTCTCAGCTGTTCCAATTGTTTTAACAATAATTCCTCTGCACCTTCCTGCACATTGAGAAAAATTACGCATTTAGTAACTTCAGCTCAATAAATCATCAGTACCAAAACCCGATTTCGCGAAAATTAAAACACATCTGATTCATTCTTCCCACAAGTATTCGAATTCTTATAAATTTAGATACAATCTAAACTATGTCAATTAAAAAAAAAGAACACACAAAAAGCCCAATTCAAGTAAAATTACAGACATGAATAAAATTACAGATATAAAAGTCAAACGAACAGAAACATACCGAGATCAGCCTCCCCTGAAGTTGAGGGGCCAAACCCTCCTGAGAATCGAAAGGTCCAAAACCCATCTTAGAATACACCGCGCAGTCCTTCGACAACCCTTTGAGCAACTTCACCTTCTTCTTGATCTCCTTCTCCTTCTCTTTCATACCACCGCACATGGGACCCACCTGATAATACTGTAAATGTCCGTCGTCGCTAAACCCAGAATTCAAATGCCGGCGAGGCCTTCTGGTTCTCAACGAAACTCCAAAATCTCTGCGACCCGGAGCGCGAAGCTCACAGCTAAACCAAGTCGTACAATAACGGGCGGTGGTGTCGATTTTACCGGCGGAAAAGCACGGAACTTGGCGAGAAACGGCGCCGGAGACCTCCATGGCTCTTCAAACACGATGATGAAAATTTGGAAACTGTAAACCCACAAAACGCACCGTATGGCAGATTGCGGAGGAAACGAATTAAGAGACCGTCGCTTTAAATCGTAAAGCTTGGTTTTAATGTTAGAGCCACGCGGACGTTTTTAATTGGCCGATGATGACGTGGGAGGCGGGTGTGGGGCACCTGGAAGCTTGTGGCAGTTCTCGGTTGTCCACACGAATAGGGTAAAGCCTTCACCTTTCGATGTATCCGAGGGTAGGTTATGGAGCCAACTGGCGCCACGTGTGCTGCAAAGTAAGCATTTCTTACCTTCTCAATTTTTTGGCTACAAAATACTAATTTTAAGAGAGTATTAACACTCCAAAAATATAATTGTAGATTTTAAAAAAAGTACCATTCTTTTTAACATAAAAAATTTGTAATACACAATTAAATTTTTATAGTGTCAATAACAAATTCTATCTTTAACTTAGTTATAACTTATAAAAACCGACATTTTATATATAATCCAAAATACTAAATGACCAAGATTGTTTAAGATTCTCTATAGATTCTTTGTTACTTCATAGATAATTCATAATGATAAATGCTACTCAAAAGTGGGTCTCTTGATGGGTTTTTTGCCAACTTATGTTTTTGGTATAATGTTTTAAAATATTGACATATAAATTGACATTAAATTGTGCGGTGACAGAGTATATTGAGAATTTCACTTTTGAGAGTGTCGATAACATTTCTTATATGAATTTAGAAGGTTTAGCATGCCTTCACTATTGAGTCAAATTTTGCACACTATAATAGGAAGCCGATTGTCGCACATAAGCTTTTTTTATTTAATACATTTTCTTTTATTTTTGTGGTCGGATTGAATAAATAAAATAAAAATAACGGACTTGATTAAATAAATATGTAACAAGTGTTAATAAAATTATTTTTTGATTCATGTGTTGGTAAACGTATGCTATACACTCATACTTAAAGGGTGAAGACAAGACAACCATGAATTGATGGCCCAATGGTAAAAGACGGTTGCGAGGCTCTCATCATATTAAAAACTGGAGGTTTTGGGTTCGAAACCCACTACTAGTGTGGAAGCCAAATTTGTGGTGAGGTTTTGGGTTCGAAACCCGCTACTAGTGTGGAAGCCAAATTTGTGGTTAGGGGAGGCTGAAATGCCTCTGTGGGTCTTTCAGGCACCCATAAAGGGTAGATAACCGTAATTAACCACTAGTTGCCCTCCTTTTAAGAAAAAACAAAGGATGACAGCAAGACAAACATGGGACAAAAGGCAATGCCAAGTTCCAACCAACCAACAATCTTACCAGCAATCGCTTTGGCAATGAACAACAAGTAGAACCATGTTTCAAACACACCTGTGCTAAATTTATAAATTTCTTTAGATTAAACTAATCACAATCTATGGATATCTTATTACGAAGCAAAAGGGCGATTAAATATACAGTCAAGATTGTTTGATGATTATACACAAAAAAACAGACTGAAAAGTATATAATCCGTAGATATCTTTTACGGTATCTGTTACCATAGCCAGTTGATACAGTAGTAGGAGCTTCGGGGGGAATCGAACCCTGGCACAGTAAACGCCCGTTTTAGGGGCATCCCGAGTCACCGTTCACTTCTCAACGCTTCACAAAATTTGATCGTAAACCTTTTTGGGTCGGATTATTCAGTTTCTGTTTGCAGCTGGGAGATGAGGTTCTTGCAAACTTCAAAAAATCCAAGGGTAACGGAAGAGGAAAGTAGTTAACTAATCCTTTTAACTTTCTTAAGAACCTACAAGTGGCAGCAACAAGTCTCTCGTTGTAGTTTGTTAGGAAGATGCTATGCCTGCCAATAGCTCTCGGGAACCTCCTAAGTGTCCCGGTACTCGCTGCCTTATTTCTTCGAAAGCACATAATGTTTCAGAGTCGAGACCTCCGGCAAACTGCAGACATGCATACCAGGAAACATAATGAGAAGAGAATTTCACAATATAGGAGATCAGAGGGGTGAAAAAGAGAGGATGTTAATCAAGGGCACCTAGAAAGATCAAGAAGAAAGTCGACAAACCATTCCATGGTGATTCATATGTGAATTCGGCTACTAAAATTATAATATGCTTGAAGATGTTTTTAAAGTTTTGGTTCGTTCAAATTGTCCAAACCACCAGAATACTGCCTTACAAAATAAAAATTTAGTCCTGAAGTTCATCATATGTCCAGTCTCCATACACCTACTGTAAGGGGAAAACAACCCGATCTAATTGCCGTTACTTTCCATACCATAGCTACTAACAACGTAGAAAATGCTAACTCAAGAATTACCTGGTGAGCCCTATATGCAAAATGCACACCCTGAAGCAGAAGAGATTCTTGACTTGACTCTCTGTCTGAATTCCGAATGGATTCAAGCTCCAACGTCACTCTCTTCATGTAAATATTAGCCAGATTCATGGAAGCCCGCTTTATCTGCACCATTTGGGATTACTTCAGTTCACCTCAAATAAAATGTAAATACAAGCAATTTCTGAACCAGTGACTAAATAAAGATGAGAAGAAGGCTTTAAAATTATTCATGGCATAAGCTGACAGGTAACTCCGCCTATGTCTTACATGGCCGGTCCCAAGCCCGGATAAAGGAGGAGGGGGAGGGCGTCAGGTAGTCGACAGCCGGCACTCCATGATCACGTCGAATCCTTATGAAAATGAATCCAGAACAAAATCGCGCTAAAGCTAGGGCGTCACCCGTAAGTGGCGCGCTGTGTGGCCCGAGCACAGTGATAAGTGAGCAAGGGTCGCTGTATCTCCATCGGCACCCGGATGCAGTGTTAAATGAGCAAGGGGGCCATAGAAACTTCTTTTCGAACGACTCCACTCAAAGTTGTTTGGGAGCATATGCTCCTATCAACTTTACCCGGGACACACAAAAGAAGTACTTTGATCCTATTAGACGGAGGAGGGTGAAGAAGCTAGGACAGAAGGGTAGAGTTCAAGAGAGCAAAATGCGTTTAGGAACGTGGAATATAGGAACCTTAACGGGAAAATCTATGGAAGTAGTGGAAGTTATGGTGAGGAGAAGGATAAATATTATGTGCCTACAAGAAACTAAGTGGGTTGGTAGTAAGGCAAAGGATCTAGAAAACTCAGGGTTTAAACTTTGGTATTCGGGCACAAATAGAACGAGAAACGGTGTTGGCATCATCGTGGACAAAGACCTTGGTACAAGAGATGTTGTAGATGTCAAGAGGGTAGGAGATAGAATCATGGCAATCAAGATTGTAATAGGACAAGAACTTATCAATGTGATTAGTGCGTACGCACCTCAAGTAGGGTTGGATACGAGTTCGAAGGAGAAATTTTGGGAAGATCTTGGAGACTTGGTGCAAGGAATTGCTCAGACGGAGAAGTTATTTATAGGAGGAGATTTAAATGGACACGTGGGCAGGGAGACAGGCAACTATGGAGGTTTTCATGGTGGCCATGGTTTTGGGGAGAGAAACGAGGATGGGGAAGCTATCTTGGATTTTGCAATGGCATATGATCTCTTCTTAGCCAACACCTTCTTTAAGAAAGAGAGAAGAACATGTGATCACCTACAAGAGTGGGTCGTCAAAAACACAAATAGATTTTCTTCTAATGAGGAAAGGGGATCGTATAACTTGTAAGGATTGCAAAGTTATACCAGGAGAGAGCGTGGCTAATCAACATCGCTTGTTGGTGATGGATGTACATATCAAAAGAGTAAGACAAAAGAACAAGACTTGGAAGTGCCCAAGGACTAGATGGTGGAATCTAAAAGAAGAAAACAAGCCATTTTCAAAGAGAAGGTAATCACCCAATGTGTGTGGGATAGAGAGGGGGAAGCTAGCCAAATGTGGGATTCCATGGCTAGTTGTATCCGAAAAGTAGCAAAAGAGGTATTAGGAGAGTCCAAGGGCTTTGCCCCACACCAAAAGGAATCTTGGTGGTGGAATGAGGAGGTACAAAACGAAGGTGAAGGCTAAGAAGGAATGTTGTAAAGCCTTATATACAAGGAGAGGACCGATGAAAATGGTGAAAGGTATAGAAAAGCGAAGCAAGAGGCGAAGAAAGCTGTCAGAGAAGCTAAGTTAGCGGCTTACGACGATATGTATAAACGACTAGATACCAAAGAAGGAGAGTTGGATATCTATAAACTATCTAGAGCAAGGGAAAAGAAGACAAGGGACCTAAACCAAGTGAGGTGCATCAAGGATGATGATGGAAAGGTTCTTGCTACAGAGAACGCGGTTAAAGACAGATGGAGAGGTTATTTTCATAATCTTTTCAATAAAGGACATGAAATGAGTGCTTCTTTAGGGGAGTTGAGTAACTCAGAAGAGTGTAGAAACTACTCTTTTTATCGTCGAATCCGGAAGGAAGAAGTGGTTGTAGCTTTGAAGAAGATGAAGCATAAAAAAGCAATAGGCCCAGACGATATACCAATCGAAGTGTGGAAAACTTTTGGGAGAGACAGGTATAACATGGCTCACTGACCTTTTCAATAGGATTTTGAAAACGAAGAAGATGCCAAATGAGTGGCGAACGAGCACTTTGGTGCCTATCTACAAGAATAAGGGCGACGTACAAAATTGCATGAACTATAGAGGTATTAAGCTAATGAGTCATACAATGAAGCTCTGGGAGAGAGTCATTGAGCATAGATTGAGGCAAGAGACACGGGTTTCGGACAACCAATTCGGGTTCATGCCAGGGCGCTCAACCATGGAGGCAATCTATCTCTTACGAAGATTGATGGAAAGATATATAGAGATGGGAAAAAGGATTTACACATGGTCTTTATAGATTTGGAAAAAGCGTATGATAGGGTCCCAAGAGACATTCTTTGAAGGATTTTAGAGAAGAAAGGAGTACGAGTAGCATATATCCAAGCTATAAAGGATATGTATGAAGGAGCAAAGACTGCCGTAAGAACTCATGAAGGACAAACCGAAAGCTTTCCCATAACTGTAGGATTACATCAAGGCTCATCCTTAAGTCCTTACCTTTTTTGCGTTGGTAATGGATGAGTTAACAGGACATATTTCAAGATGATATT